TTAGTGTATTTGACGGCAGGGGAACAGCAGCTCTCAAGCTCCCAAAATCTACGAACTAGCTGATCAAGTTGAATAAAGTATATGCAGTTCGCGACTGAGTGTCGCCACCTGTAACCACCCACCCTAACCTGGTCTTCTGAAGTAACGGCAGACCAGGCGCGAGCTTGATTTGTCCAACACACAATAGCTCATAGAAAAGGCTTGAACCGATAAGCATATCGATCCGCTGCGATTTGTAAAAATCCGGGTCGGCCAAGCGAATGTTGGATGGAATGTCCCACGATGCGATGTTCAGAGTAACATTGGGTTGATTGTCTGTTATGCTAGGGGCCACCAATGCCATGATGCAAGTTGAGTACTCGGAAGTTTGAGAGCGAAGATTGATGTCAACAGTGAAGCCATCAGACTGGAACCTAGAATCGCCAAGATCGGATACGAGGATAGACGACTTGGTTCTACGTAGCTGTAGCTGATGAGCAAGACGAGATGTGATGATGTGCAACTGCGACCCGGAGTCGAGCAGTGCACGGCATGGTACCCATGTACCAGCATTGTTCTTGACGTTAACAACCGAAGTGGCCAAGAGCACTACATCATAACTGAGATTCTGGGTAGTCGAAGAAGCAGACGAAGAAGGTGAAAGGGCAGCCAAAGTGCGTTGCACTGGTTGTGTGGTAAGTTGTGACGACGGTTGGGTATTTTGCTCTGCAGAAGCGGTTACTTGCCTGTCGGAATTTTCAAAATGTAATAAACTATGGTGCTTGGCACCACACGAGCGGCACAAGCCAGCATTGCATGCTCTAAGCTGATGACCTCTTCGGAGGCAATTCAAACATAACGAAAGCCTTTTGGCTTCCCTCAGACGTAGTTGTGGCGTTAAGTTACTAAAACGGCTGCAGCTATATACAGCATGGTCTGTGCTTCCACAGAAAGCACAACTATTGGATACGTTAGTAGATACGAAAGATTTTCTACTTGGGTTAGTAATTCTACTAGTCTTGCCCACCTGAGAAATGCGTGTGTTCCCTTCTATGGAATGCTCAACGTTTTCAAGTTTTTGACACCGCTTCTCCAAAAAGGCTGTAAATTGCTCGCATGAAGGTATAGTATCCAATGGTGCGGTTTCTTCCCACTTAGCCTGCGTTACACTATCCACCCTTTGGAGAAGAGTGTGTATAATTATGCATGCCGCTATTTGCTCCAAATTGCCGATGGTCTGCAGTGCGCGAAGATTAGCATTAACTTTGTCTGATAGCTCCCTCAATTTCACTGCTGACGAGGAGTCTACCCTTTTAAGCCCAAGAATCTCAGTGATGTGTGCCTGGAAAATAAGACGCTTATTGTTAAAACGTTTTTCGAGTAACTCTAAAGCCACAGTATAGTTAGCGCTACTGATCTCCAACGAACGGATGGTATCCAACGCTGCTCCCTTCAGGGATGATCGCAAATGCTGCAACCTTTCGACGTCCGTAAGATCAGGATCCCTACCAATTATAGTCGAAAACATTGAAAAGAAGCTGGTGTACTCCGTGTAGTTACCGCTGAACACAGGAAGCTTCAGCTCGGGTAAACGAGGCCGACTTTGCATAATGATTGTTTGCCCTTCTGAGGTTTGGTCATGGCGCAAAGTTGAACACGGTGGTAGCTGGGATTGGCGCTTACCAATTTCATGCCGTATGCGAGAGCGTAATGTAACGAGCAGATCATCAAAACTGATGCGTAGCTGCCCCCCAATTTCGTCGAAATCTTGCTCTTCGAGCTTGTCATGAGCTGAGTTGAATCTCGTACAAATTTGCTCAAGGCTCTCCAAGCGTACATTTAACTCCGCTTCGGTTAGTAAGCTTAAACGCTCAACTTGAAGCACCTGATCGATTGCTTGAGCCTGCATAAAAATCGATTGTGCCTTGCGCTTGTAAAAAACCACAAAGTTGTCAGGTGATAACTGATGAGTTTCCTTAGTGACCATGATCTTGATGCCTTGATACGCTTAAAACCATATAAGTTTGCTGTACTTAACGGATCGAAAGAAATCGTCTGTTTTTTGCAGCGGTACGTATGTATTAAGAAATTCACAGCTCCAATAACGCGCGATTTTGCAACGGAACACGAATGCTATGATACCCAATGTATTTAGCAGCTTAGCTGAATATTTTTGCGACAGTTATGTACTATGTGCTTAGTTATATATGTACATTTTCACTATTCAAGTCATTTCTAAATAAGTGCATATACACCAGACTGCTAGTGGCTCAAAAAACACGCGATGTTCGCAACGGAGGATATATACCGAGTATATGCTTAGTTCAGCCACTTATGTGTTTATGTGTGTATATATGCACAGGTTCAGTCCCCTTTATTAATGTTTATGGGTATTGCGGTTAGTGGCAATAAGTTCAACGCGAATTACTTTAATTTCAAGAAAATGCTAAATAAACGACGATCACGTCGGGGTCACCAAAAATGTGTAGCCACCGAGCCTTTTCGGAGGCTAATTCCTTGCAAATAAAA